CCCTTCCAGAGAACCTCTGGGTGTCCCCTGGCTAGGAATCCATGTCACCCCAGCCCTGACCTTCCCAGGCTCCTGCCTCATTCACCACCTTTTCCTCCCACCTGCTCCCAGCTCCTGGACCTGTTTGACAGTGAGGATCCTCGAGAGCGGGACTTCCTCAAGACCATCTTGCATCGCATCTATGGCAAGTTTTTGGGGCTCCGGGCTTATATCCGTAGGCAGATCAACCACATCTTCTACAGGTGAGGCCGGGAGCCAGCTTAGGAGCATAGCAAGCCCTGCTAAGTTGGGATGGGAGAAGGGAGGTAGGGGGACTCTGCAGAGTGCTGGAGGAACATTGGGGATTGTCACGAGAGCCTTTCTTTCCTCCCTCAGGTTCATCTATGAGACAGAACATCACAACGGGATTGCTGAGCTCTTAGAGATCCTCGGCAGGTAAGCGGTGGGGTGGGGCACACGTGCCTGCAGAAGGTTGGAGGGACGGGAGCACTGAGCTTGGATGGCCCTTTGGTCCTAACAAACCTCCTATAACTCCTAGCATCATCAACGGCTTTGCCTTGCCCCTTAAGGAAGAGCACAAGATGTTCCTCATCCGTGTCCTGCTTCCCCTTCACAAGGTCAAGTCCCTGAGTGTCTACCACCCGCAGGTGAGCTGCCTTCCTCCTGATGATCCCTGACACTGGCAGCAGAGAAAAGAGAGGGAGGGGAAGATATTCCATCTGGGATGGGGGTGGCAGAAGGAGTGGGTGGGATAATTCCTCTTTACACCTCTTCTTCCATTCTGGGCTCTTGCTTCTGTCCCTGATCCCTCTGAGACCCGGACCCTACGCCTCACCTCCTTTCTACCTCAACCTTTTGCAGCTGGCTTACTGTGTGGTACAGTTCCTGGAGAAGGAGAGCAGTCTCACAGAGCCGGTAATTCCCCTTCCCAGCCCCAGGACACCTCTTCCTGTCAATTAAACTTCCCAGTCTGCCTATTGAATAATGCCATAAGCAGGTGCTCAGGAGGGATGTGGCCCAACAGGTGACATGGATTCCTCTCTGAAGGAAAAGTAAAACCTATATATAGGAAACAGAATCAGGCCAGTTAGCGGAGGCCACCTGAGCTGCGCCCATCAGGGTGGGGAGAGAGGCCAGGAAGGCTTCCTGTGGAAGCAGGCAGGTGTTGAGTGAGAATTTTATCCCCGTGTCCTCCTCTTCTCACAGGTGATTGTAGGACTCCTCAAGTTCTGGCCCAAAACCCACAGCCCCAAGGAGGTCATGTTCCTGAATGAGCTAGAGGAGATTCTAGATGTCATTGAACCTTCAGAGTTCAGCAAAGTGATGGAACCACTCTTCCGCCAGCTTGCCAAGTGTGTCTCCAGCCCTCATTTCCAGGTGAGACTCAGACCAGCATATCCCGTCTCCAGGCCTCCTAGAAACTGAGGAGGGTTTTCAGCAGAGTGAACCATACCCCTGCTGAGTCCCACCTGTCCCCACCAGGTGGCAGAGCGTGCTCTCTATTACTGGAACAATGAGTACATCATGAGCCTGATCAGTGACAATGCTGCCCGAGTCCTCCCCATCATGTTCCCTGCACTCTACAGGAACTCCAAGAGCCACTGGAACAAGTAGGCGGCTGGGGTAGGGCTGGGTGGTGGGGCTCTGGTTTGGGAACCTGTGAGGGGGTGGAAGAACTGAAGAGCCAGCGGTCTCATCGGGTCACTGAGCACAGGGGCTAGTGCCCACTGCACACTGACAGGCCCTTGAGGAACTGACCAGGGAGAAGACAGCAATGTGAGAGATGTCTGCAATACCTACAGTAGAGTGTGGCTTGTATCCTATCTTCTCCCCGTCAGAGATAGTCTGCAGCTTTGGAGACTTCATTCTGTGCTGTGAGAAGCTGATGTGATCTTTTTTAGCATTTGCTGAATCCCACTGTCGTAAAGAGACTTTCCAGCCAAAAGCAAGTGCACTGTGGTGCAGGTGCTGTCCGTTAAGCTGCTGGGAGGCCATTAGGATAGGCCAGGGCATAGAAGTAGTGTGAAGAAGGTAGGTCTTAGAGCACGGGGTGAGGCAAAGGAGGGACAAACAGACCAAGGCCTATAAAGAACCTGAAATGCCAATCTCAAGTCACGTGATTTGGCTAGAATGATAAGCTTACACTGCAGGGGTCTATGAAAGCTCTTAGCAGAGACCCCTCCTGGGAGAGAGCAAATTGGGGTCCTGGCACTGCCCTTAGTATAAGTAAGGCCTCCTGTACCTGATCCTTCTTCCCGGTGGCAGGACAATCCATGGACTGATCTACAATGCCCTAAAGCTGTTTATGGAGATGAATCAGAAGCTGTTTGATGACTGCACACAACAGTACAAGGCAGAGAAACAGAAGTGAGTATCTCTTGACTTGGGGGCTTCCATCTTCACCCCAGGTTCCCTCTGCTTCTCTTTCTTTTTT